AAGTTTTTGTAAATGTTTTGATTGGCATGCAAGGTAAGTATACCAATATTAATTGCAAAATTGATACAGGTTCACGAATAAATTGCCCGCTAAATCACATATTTAGGAAACTGAAAAAAAAAATCACATATTTAGGAAACTGAAAATAAAACACCATTTGGAAGCTTTCAAAGCAAGATTAATTTCGTACACAAGTGACCGATTACCAGTGCTTGGGAAAATATGGTTACACTGTAAATACAATAACAAATCAGTGTGTTCCGAATTTTATGTAGTTGAGAGTTCTGCTACCTCACTGTAAAGCCTCAAAACATCTGTAGAAGATTTACGCATTCTGTCAATTAGATTGAATCTATTGACGCATCTGACCTTAGTAAGGACACTGTAGTTAGAGAGTACAAAGAATTGTTTCATGGGATATGGTTATTTTCTGAAATTTGAAATGTTCATTGCATTTGAAGGAAAATGCTGTTCCTGTTGTTTGTCCACCTAGAAAAGTACCTTTTGGACTCGGAGATAAGCTTAAAAAAAGAGCTTGACACAATGGAGTCAAAACAAATTATTTGTAAGGTAACAGAAGCTACAAACTGGATAAGTTCACAATTACGTCCGGTAAGCTGAGGATCTGTCTTGACACCAAAGCATTGAATTTAAATATACAAAGGCTGTATTATACGTTACGTTCCATTGATGACATTACGTCAAAATTGAATGGCGCTAAAAACTTCACGACATTTCACACAGAATTTGGACAGTACAAATATTTAAGACTTCCTATGGGCATAAGAAGTTCTCAAGACATTTTCCAACGAAAAAATGACGAGACATTTAAACAATGGACGACTTATTAGTGTTTGGAAGCACACGTTCATAATATGACAAAAACGTGATCAGTGCTGATGGACTGAAATCTGGTCCTGAGAAAATAAGCAATTATCAAAATGAGAAATCCGGCAACTCGTGCTGAGCTTGAAACCCTGCTGGGTATGATTACATACTTGACAAAATTCTCACAAAATTTCTCGGAGATAACTAGCCCGATGCGAGAGTTATTACGCAATGACATAGGGTTCAGATGGGATTCAGTCCAATCTGAAGCTTTTAAAAAGGTTAAACAGGTGATTACACAAGCACCTGTACTCAGTTACTATGATTCATCGAAGCCTGTTAGATTACAATTGGATGCTTCGTCCAAAGGCCTTACTGTTTGTTGCTTACAAAATTATAAACAAATTGCATACGCTTCAAAATCACTGACATTTACCGAGACAGGATACGCACAAATAGAAAAAGAGAAGCTGGTTATGTTATTTGGATGCACTAGATTTAAGCGTAATATTTACGTACGGGGCACGGTTGCCGAATCTGACTGTAAACCGATAGTATTTGTGGTGGTGTTGGTAGTTTTCACTCCGGATCACGACAGTAAGCTACATTGAATTCACCAGAGCACCGATAGTATCTATTATGAGGAAACTACTTTATAGTGACCCGTCTAGGGTACAACGGATGTAAATACAATTTCAAGATTTTGACATCGCTGTAATTCACTGTTTAGAGGTAAAGATATTCCGCTTGGAGATGCTCTCAGCCGGAATTACGTAACTGACACTTTTCCTAATCTGATTGACGGATTAGAAACACATGATCACACTGTACTGACATCACTACCGATAAGTGATTTAAAATTGTAGGAAATTCAAACAGCAACGCAAAATGATGCTTAGTTACAAACGCTTATTAGTGCCATTTCTAACGGATGGCCTTACGGCAGACGAGATTACCTTGCGACTGTATTAGAATACTGGAATCATAGGGACGAATTGGCTTTTGAAGACAATATTGTATTCAAGGGTCAAACAATAGTAATACCAATATCTTTCAGACAGGACATGACTAACGCAGTACATGTGGGTCATTTTTGTGTAAAAAACGACAAGACGGGCTAGGGATATAATGTTTTGGCCATCAATGTCAAAACAAATTACAGATCATGTTCTTAATTGCCAGATTTGTTGTAAATATGGAGTCTCAAATAAAAAGGAACCATTACATCCTCATGACATACCCCAAATACCATGGCAATATTTATCATGTGATTTATTTACGTGGAATGGTTCTTGTTGACGCTTACAGACAATATTTCGAGTTCGACTAGCACTTCAAGTTCTTGTATCATAAGAAAACTTAAGGTACATCTCAGCAGATTTGATATCTGTGAGAAGTTAAAAACTGACAATGGGACATGCTTTACTAGTAAAAAATTTCAGAACTTTCTAAAACAATGGAACATTAAACATAAAACTTCAAGTCCCACGCATGCAAGTTCAAATGGGCTTAGCAAAAATATATGTTTAAATTGCAAAACGCATTCTTTAGAAAGATAAAGATGACAATAAAGATCCTAATTTGCCCCTTTTAGAATATAGGAATACACCACCTAAATGTGAATGGTCACCCGCTCAACTTTTGATGGGCAGACGACTCAAGTCGCTTCTCCCAACAACCTACAAGAAGCTTCTGCCACAAACAGTAAATCATTGTAAAGCAAAAATAATATGGAAAAATTACAAATTGATTAGCAAGAAGCATTACGATAAAAATGCGTACAAAATGAAACCTCTAAAAATCTGAAAATCTGTCAGAATTCGAAAGATAAGTACTATGTACCAGCCAATGTTATAACCCAGTATAATGAACACTTATTTCACGTGCAGACCCCTGACGGTGCTGTTTATCGTAGACATTGCTGTTTCCTAACCAAAGCACCTGAACTATCTGACCTGTCAAAGCACACACAACAACCATCTAAAGTAGATGAACCACAAGAGTCTATTTTAAGTGAACAAACAAGTCAAATTCCCCTACAGAGTCCCTATCTCCTGCAAAAGTGTCAGGTAAATCGAAACCATTCACAATCACTAGGTCAGGTAAGAGAGGTGAAACCGAATAAGCTTTACTGTGGAAAAGATTGGACAAAGTTTTAACATTTGTTGTAATAGCCATGAGTGAAACTGTAAATCAGTGACATTTAGAAAGCATTAAAATTTCTGCTTGTTAATTTTAATAAGACATGTATAATATAATTAATTATATTTGATATACATTTTTGTACTTGAAAGAATACATTTTACAGATAAATATGAAATTTACTAAATGTGCTATGTTTTTAAACAAGTATTTTTTTTAAACATATGTATACATATGTTTAATCTTAATACTATCTTATTCTGTATTGCGCATGTCCATTATCTTCCCGTCACTTATATACTTGGAACATTCAGTGGTCATTAAACGATAGAACTAGAAACACGTGTGTGTGTTATACATTACAAGTGCACGCTCTGTGTACATATTAATAAATAGACCCAGAATACAACTATCATGTAATTTAACTTTTCATAAATCCTAGGTGATTCACACCTGAAATAAACATGATGTGTCAATCAGTACGAAAGCTCATGTATTTGAGGCGGTGATAAGTATAAACCAATCAGATAGAGTACTGAAACGAAATCCCCTTAATCACATGATCTATTTTAGGATAGGTCATCTGTCAATCAAATGCCCTTTTGAAAAGCTATTGAGTGCAGCAATAATTATCAATGATTTCCCACGGTTTACGCAATAAAATTACTTTTTTCTATCAAACGGCACTAAACATTTATAAATATTAAGAGGATATTTTTTCGTTTGAGTGAAATATGGTATATATTTTCACGAAACATGATAAAATGCCACATATTTTCACGAGCCGGGACGGCGAGTGAAAATATGACGCATTTTATCATGTTGAGTGAAAATATATACCATATTTCACGAAAAACGAAAAAATAACCTTTTTATTTAATTTCATTATCAAAGAAAAATGGTTATGAACCCCCTTGCCTGCTACGCAACTGCAATTATACAGCGCGCAGTAATATAAGTATCGTCTTGTTTTCCACGCGATATTTAGCGCTAGATTGTGACGTCACGTAAACAACTTTTTAAACGTCTATACAGCGTTAATGACTGAATTAAAGATATTGGTGTTCGGATTTATTTTCTTAGTTAGACCATTTTCTATCATTCTATATAGTTTTCAAAACAAAATTCAACAAAAAAGTTGTTTGTATTTATCAGATTTTTCAAACAAAATGGCGAAAGAAGTCCTTTAAAATAAATACGAGTTTTGACTCCGCCCACTTTCATATTTATATTTCATATTTATTTTTAAAAAATATGAAATATATTTGACTGATATAGCACCATATTTCATTGGTAAAATTAAATAAACGTATATATTTTTTATATATTTTTTACGAAATGTAGAACGAAATATAAAATAGTAGTTTTTATATATGATATATCAGCTTACAAACATAAACTATATTGTTGTCCTCTTTGTTATATACCTATTTTTTGTTCTGTGAAAGCATCACAGTGACCTGTTTCTTTTATATGTTTATACGAACTGATTTTATTGTAAATAAAATTGAAATCGAAATTAAGCCATGCGAAGGTCTCAATTAAAATAAAAGACTAATCCAGGAAGTGACTCCGCTGAAGTTTTTTGACATGCCGGGAAAAGAAATATTCATTCGAGATAAAATGTTCCATTTGACGTCTAGAACAATAACTTCTGTACAAAAATTCAGATCATTCGCTCACCTCCTTTTTCCAGAATGTCTTTTTTTTAAAAGTGAAAAAATGACCAAAACTTGAAAAGCGTTGCAATACTTTTCACTTAAATCGGACTAGGAGTTTGACAAAAAGTATAATTTTCAATTTATTTCTTTTATTACCTTTTTGCATTTTTTTCTGTTTTAAGTGCTAGTTGATCTATGTAAGAAATTTAAATTTTATTCTACAGATTTTTGGACCTCAGCGGATTTCTAAATCTAAACCCTATGCACTGTTTCTTTTGGTTTTGGGTTTATAACTATCTTTATGATATTCATTTAAGACTTCTAACTTGAAAATTATCCAGTGAAAAATACAATGCAAAAAATTTTTACCATTTATGCATTTATCAGTTACAACATCGGAATGTTTTGCGCATGCTTCATCCACATCCTTTTCATCACCTTGTCGTATCGTCTTTACAGGAACATCGACGTGATCTGATCCTCTTTGTTCAACTTGGTTTTTTGTTGAAGCCATGATGTGAAAATATCTATCTGTATATCAACAAATTCAATCAGGTATAATAAAAATACGTGTTGCTTACATGAATTATCTCGACAGATCAGTCTATAGGAATAGTGCATTCATTATATCTCATCTATAAATAAATTATGTACACATAAAATACATATTTAAATGCATTACATCATATTGTACCTGCATCTAGTGACCACTTAATCATTAACAGTTTTATTTTAAAACAATATTAAATTTATGCTCAACTTAAGAATATACATGTAGCTCCAAAAATATATAAACAATGACATATAAATATAATATATTATTTAATTTTACCCATGAAATATGGTGCTATATCAGTCAAATATATTTTATATTTTTTAAAAGTAAATATGAAATATGAATATGAAAGTGGGCGGAGTTAATACTCATATTTATTTTAAGTGACTTCTTTCGCCATTTTGTTTGAAAATCTGATAAATACCAAACAACTTGTTTTAAATCTGATAAATACACAACAAATTTTGTTTTGAAAACTATCTAGAATGATAGAAAATGGTCTAACTAAGAAAATACATTCGAACACAAATGTCTATAATTCAGTAATTAACGTTGTACTGACGTTTAAATAGTTGTTTACGTGACGTCACAATGTAGCGCCAAAGACTGCGTTCAAAACAAGACGCATTTATAAATAATATATTACTGCGCGCTGTACAAATGGCAGTTGCGTAGCAAGCAAGGGAGCTCGTAACCATTTTTCTTTAATCATGAAATTAAATAAAAAGGTTATTTTTTCGTTTCGTCCCGGCTCGTGAAATATGTGGCATTTTATCATTATGAGTGAAAATATATTACATATTTCACTAAAACGAAAAAATACCCTCTTATTTTTTAATTTTACCTAGGACATATGGTGCTATATAAGTCAAATATATTTCTTTTTTTTTTAAAACAAATACGAAATATGAATATGAAAGTAGGCGGAGTCAAAACTCATATTTATTTTAAGAGAATTCTTGCACCATTTTGTCTGAAAGATCTGATAGATAAAAAACCACTTTTGTTGAATTTTGTTTTGAAAACTATTTAAAATGATTGAACATGGTCTAACTAAGATAATAAATCCGAACACGAATATCAATTAAGTCACTTACGCTTTACAGACGTTTAAAGAGTTGTTTACGTGACGTCAAAATGAAGTGTCAAACAGCGCGTGCAATACAGGCAAAACAAGACGCATCTATAAATAATCAATATATTACTGTATGGAATGATATTGAGGTAAAAATTACACAAGGCCTGCTTACTGTTACAATTTACTCATTGACACTGCTATTGTGCTTATTGATACTCTCATTATGCATGCTTGCACTTTCATCACGCTTGCTGGAAATTTCAACTTGTTTGGTGTTTAGTCCCTGATGCCTTTTTCATATTTTCATTTGAGTGAATGACAGTGCAATCTAGTGTAAAGGTTTATTTCATCATGCTGTGCCAGTGGTTATCTTGGTTAATTTGTAATTCATCCAAGAACAAAATACACGAAGTGATCAACCAGTATGGAAAATGTTATCAGGCACTAGGCAAAATATAACGCATAATGTCATTTCAAAATTATAAGTCACATTTTGATAACAGGGGCGCTATGTTCTAGTCGTATTTTTCCGTAATTTGAATATTTTTTTGCCGGAAAGATTATCGTGGATATCCGAGTATGTATAGAGAGATCTATCAATAGTTACTTCCCCTTTTTTCAATTTGCCATTTGCCTTAACTTTATTACAAATAGACTGTCGGTCACTTCTTTTACCCGTAGCATTGTCTATATATTCTGTATGCATGCCATAACGTCCAAATATAGGTCATAACAATTCACATTGACTCATTGTTCAAAATGTTGACTGTAAGTTTTATGCCAACTGGAACTGTGACCAGTAATGATGATGGTACATCTAATTTAAGTGATTTGATTTAGGGCCAGATTAAATTTTAGCTCGCCTTCTTCATCTCATTTGCTTAAATTAAATTGTTTTTCTTAGAAGTGGAGTTCTTGCGGTTTGAAATTCCTGAAATTCCACAAATCAAATTAAGGGGGGGGGGGGGGGATCCCGGGAGCCGGGATCGTATTAGATATAGAGGGAAAACTAATAAACTATATTTGTGTATTGATCATTGTCGTAATGAAAGGCGATTTTAAAAATGTTAAATTTTATTTTTTTATTGTATGTAATGAACGGTAAATTAATTTAAGTATAGGTTAGTGTTTAATAATACGTATTAACAAAAATAATTGGTCAAGCCTGCCGCAGGCAGGCGACCAATTATTTTTGTTAATGCGTATTATTAAATATTAACCTATTTAACATTTGATCAACATTATTTTTTTCAACCAAAAACAAGGCATTTCTCTAAATCACCGATAGCTCCGCCCTTTCCCTCTACAAGATGTCTACACCAGGGCTGGGAATCAAAACTGCGTCGTATCCTACAAAATGTAAACAAACACCGCCATCTTGGAACGAAAAATGTATGTTTTTGTTTATAACTTTTTTGTTGAAAATGACTGAAAACCAGATATATGCACTATTTTCTGCTTCGTTCGGTATATGTTGCTTGCACAACTATTTTGTAAAACAAAATTTTTAGCGAACTTGCAACTCGAAGCGGAGCAGAATTTTTATGAAATTGTGTGGATACGACGCAGTTCATATTGCTTTATCTATCGTTTTTTCCTTCAAATCAATTATATACTCGTTTTTAGAATTCACCATAAACTTCAAAACATAATTTTGCATCATTTGCTAAACTTTCATAAAAAGAGATGTTTATTTTCCAAGAAAATAATGATTTTTACGAAATGATACGACGCAGTTGAAAATAAAATATGATACGACGCAGTTGTATTTTCATTGCAGGCTGCATATTAGTTAAGCTATTTAAATTATGTGCTAGGTATGCTAATAAAGTCCAACAACATTTCTTGTTTACAACTTAAGTCAAAAGTAGAGGTCACTCATTGGTTCCATAAAAATGGAAATGTAATACAATTCTTTTAAGGCTGCATCTTTCGGTCGCATTTTAGTACCTATCATAAGCATTTACAAATTCCGAAAAGCTGTATCAAATGCAATATACATTGAAACAAGTGATCGCATACCCATATGACAACGCGTTCCAGTGTTGCCTTAGCATGTTTCTAAAATTGTTCCCGTGAGTTCGAAATAGGAGTGATTACTATTTTTGATACAAAATTCAATTATTCCGGTGTAACCTCTCCTGGACCCTGTATTAATCAGGAATGACCTTTTTTTTAAAAAAAAAGAGAAAGAATTACAAATTTTAAATTTGGAAGAGAGCTATGCGCAATTGCATGCCTACCTTTATTACTTGTAATTAGCAATAATTTCCGTCAATTCCGTTATTACTTATGTCTTTTACGTGCCGATTTTATTGTATTCATTTTCTTAATAATCGGTGAGAACAGATGAGCTTTATTATTTGAAAATGACCATTAAATTTTTTTAATTATTTAATAAGTGATTAAGCTACAATATATTTTTGCAAGTAGGTTATGCGTTCCGTATTATTTTATGTTCAGCGCCGCGGAACTTTACCGCTGATTTTGTCGTATTGCATTTCTTTATCGCCGACGAGGAAAGGTCTACGGAATGTGTTTTCTATATTTGCACTTAAGTATCATTCTTCTCCATTAAAAAACTTTAAATTTTCAAAATCGAGTTACATATGATACAACTACAAATTATTTTGTAAAGAAGGTGTCCGTTTTGAAAAGGTATTTTACGCTGTGCACCGATAAATTTGATACAGGTATAGGCAGACATGATCTTTCAACAGTATTGAAGAAGTTTTCACAATTTTTGAACAGAAAATTTAGGTCAGATTATCGCATCGAATTTTCAACAGACTAGAGACATGGCATCTTAACATACCTTCATACTAAAGTGTGATTTTTATTTGATAATGAATTGCCTGAAACTTAAACAAAAGTTTTCAGAAAATGACTTCACAGAGGATTACCCTCTGTTTACATTAAAAATTTCTCTGCAAGTCATACCGAAATAAGAAATTTAAATGTTATTCTTTTTAAAATTAACTCAAATATTTATAATCTTAAAACTTCACGCCAGAAGTTAATAAAAAGCTACTTATTTGTACAGCTGACGTTAACAAATTTTGTTGAAAAAAAAACAAAACAAATCAGACAGGTGTGTCCGACCGAGGCCGAGCTGTCGAAAACCACCAGAGACTTTTTATTCTTTCGTGTGCAAAACCTATCAAGATAGTTTAAAAATGTCGATGGTTCTCTGCAGGTGCAACATTTTGCCTGAAATAATGCACAAAGGCGCACCTGAGGTCCTCGCCCCTAGTAAAGCTAATGTGTAGAGTGAAAGTTGGAAAACAAACCACAAAAAGCAGTCATTACCCAGAACATGCAGTACCACAGTTAATTTAGAGCGTAGCTTGCCAAAATGAATTCAAGTTAATGGATTTCTACGAATGGATTTTTGCGAAAAAATAGGGATAATATTGAACATACAGGAAAACATAAGAAATTATTTCAGATAAATTATTATGATCAATTAGGTAACACATGATTAACTGAAAGTAGCTTCCGCAATGTAAACTTTCAAATTAAATGTTATATTGGACATGACACAATGTATTCTAAATAATCAAAAGCAACAGAACATTGCTATACACCGCAAATGATCTGGTTTTTTATCTAGCGCAAGTGATTATTCCATAAAATAGAAAATATATTGCCAAAATTATCCCTGTTGAAAAGACTGCCAAAAAATACAACTGCGTCGTATCATATTTTATTTTCAACTGCGTCGTATCATTTCGTAAAATTCATTATTGTCATAGAGAATGAACATCTCTTTTTTATGAAATGTTAGTAAATGATGCAAAATTATATTTCGAAGCTTATGGTGAACTCTGAAATAAATATATAATTGATTTGAAGGAAAAAACGATAGATAAAACAATTTATATGAACTGCGTCGTATCAACACATTTTCATAAAAATTCTGCCCCGCTTCGAGTTGCAAGTTCGCTATAACTTTTGTTTTACAACATAGTTGTGCAACCAACATATACCGAACGAAGCGGAAAATAGTGTAGCGTGTTAATACATATATCTGGTTTTCAGTCATTTTCAACAAAAAAAAGTTATAAACAAAAACATACGTTTTTCGTTCCAAGATGGCGGCGTTTGTTTACATTTTGTAGGATACGACGCAGTTTTGATTCCCAGCCCTGTACACCTTGTCAAGTTTCTCACATTTCACATTTAGATAAGCTAAATAAATGGCCCTTTCAACATATAATCAGACACGTTTTTTACTGAAATGTCACAGAGTTTATACCTTTATCTACAGTAATTAGGTAAAAATAATTGAGTTAATGAAATGTGTACATCCTTTTAAAATAAATGGAAAATGTGAGAATATACATTTGAGATTAAAAATAATAATTGATACAAATTCGTTATTGGCTTCAAGTTATTCACTTACATTTTAAATCCCTATTGATTTGCTCTTTTTGAAAAACTGATGTTTTTTTTCTGTGTGTCAATTTTGGTTTACGGGTGGAGGGTGTCCATTTACAATAAGTTTTCCAGCCAAAAAATGTAATCATTGTATCCTTAATATCAAGGATTGTTAATGCAGTTCATTCCTATCAAGTGAAAGAAAATCCTTTTTTGGTTACTTCTTCTAGAAAATATAAAGTTAAAACAGTCAGCAATTTATAACAGACATTTTCCTAGAGTTAAAATGGTATAAAAAAAATTACTTTGTAATCATTCGTCTCTGGTGCCCCAAATGTATTACCTATGTAATAAATCAATTGATTGTATCCTCACATTTAGAAAGCCTATTTTTTACGTTGGCATTGTTTTGCTAACCTTTATATTTTACAATTCAGAGTGCAAACCATACCTCTAACTCCTCCCATATATAATGCATTCATCATTGAAATTTGTTAGACTGGTTAGACGACAGATTAAGTAAATTTAATTTAGTTAGAACACATTAACCAAAGTTAGACTTAACAGAAATTTGAAAAATACTACAATGTGATTGGACAAAAAATAATGTTGATAATTAACTTAGGATATAAATATATTTAGAGTTTTTTATTAACAAACTTAAAATGCGGAAATCACAATACTAATAATTATGCCTAATTAATTGGAAAAAATTAAAGACTATATTCTTGAATTGGTCAAATCCCGGAATGCAGTCAACTTTCATTTAAAACACAACAGTCTTTTGTTCCCTTTCACACCTTCACACCTATGTTCAATTTATACCAAAGTAACTAACAACTTTTTATGGTGCTAACAATATCACTTAAAATGGGGTTATTTGGAATAGAAGCAATTAATTAGTTTTTATCTTGCTCTTTTCTGCTAGTAAATACAAAGTAATAAAAGATTGTTATAAGTATATTTTAAGGTAAAGAGTTATTGAGTCTGTTTATCTCAATTTAATTGTACTTCAAGTATTTGGTGCTTCTTAATATGATGAATACAATGTTAACATTTGAAGGAATATTGCAACAAATTATCTATAGATAAATAATACATGGGATTTACAGCTCCACTTTTTGAGAAATATTTATAACATTTTTATCAAAACCTAAAGTACTGCATGGTAATGCAGAAGCAGTACCACTTTTTAAGACAGTAATGCAGTACCAGTACCAGTAGTAGCAACATTTTGTAAGAGTAATTCAGTATCAGTACCAGTACTTGCAATATCACTGCAGTACGTACTGCAGTACTAGTACCAGTAATGCAGCTCTGATTCTTGAACTGGCCAATTCCCGGGCTCTTTATATTTTTTAATACGATCCCGGCTTTTCTGAAAACTATATTCTTGAACTGGTCAATTCCCGGAATCCCTATATGTTTTAATACGATCCCGGCTTTTCTGAAAACTATATTCTTGAACTGGTCAATTTCCGGGATCCCTATATGTTTTAATACGATCCCGGCTTTTCTGAAAACTATATTCTTGAACTGGTCAATTCCCGGGATCCCTATATGTTTTAATACGATCCCGGCTTTTCTGAAAACTACATTCTTGAACTTGTCAATTCCCGGAATCCCTATATGTTTTAATACGATCCCGGCTTATCTGGCTGAATTGATTGGCAACTTGTGTTTACTTTTTCTTATTGCATATTAGCACTCTTGATGCCCAATATACAACGACTTCCATTCCGTACCGGCTAGTGAAAATATATGTCATTTTATTATGTTTCGTGAAAATATATTCCATATTTCACTCAAACGAAAAAATATCCTCTTAACATACCAATTGTGGATCAGACTCTGTAACTATACCTCTGTCACTCACACTGTGATATTAGGTCTGTACTGCAATAACTGTAAATTACAAACATCAGTGCATAACAAATAGAAACAGTGATTTCTTTGAATAACTATAAGATAAGAACATATGCTTCCATCTTGAATTCTAACACTCAAGAATATAACTAATTTATCAAAATAGTTTTTATCAAATCCACAACTGTAACTAATCAATATAAGTCTTCATTTAGTTGACATTAGATACAGTGACATTATGCTCATATTTTCATAGTCAAGTTGAGCTGAATTGACTTTATATTTCAAAAGAAGGACTGTCAAAATGGTGTTTCACCAACAGTTGATATTGGAAAATGTTTATGATAAAAATATAAATCTGCCAACAATTTAAAAAGACTGCCCCACTCTTTTTATTAACTTAGCGTTATACGTAAATTCTGACAGACATTTACAGAAATTTCATTCGGATCTGTGTGTTATTAATTGTTTATGCGAACTTAATTATTAAATTAAAAGGGATTATGGCAAAATGAAAACATATTTTGATCTACACCTGTTCACTCACTATATACCCTTAAATGGGCACAATGTCACTTTAGGAACAAATGAATAAAACATACAAAAACCAATTCCTCAATCCAAATTCTTAGTAATAATCATATTCTTTATAATAAGTAAAAGCAGCACATCTACATGTCACAAAGTCCAACAACTTCTATTACACAAAAAATGACCCCAGGTGACCCTAACTTTGGGAAGGGGGCATAATCACACAAAGTCAAGATTAAAATCAAACAAGGTCGACAGAGCTGTCTTTCTTGGAAAATAACATTAAACTTGGTTACACATCCATTATTGTTCTTTGGACATACAGGTATATTAATAACCTTAGCATATTTTTAGCATTGACAAAGCATGACAATTTTTATTTAGTTCCAGATATCGTATAAACGACGAGTCTATTTAAATAATGATTTTCGTTAAGTCATTTGATCTTTACATTTAATGTGTACGTGAGGTTTTTTGCCTGTTTATTTATTAACGATATTTCTTTTTTGAACAAATGATAAATGAAAAGGATAGATAAATTAGAGGAACACTGTGTAATTCCATCCATATAGTGGTAATAAATGGTAATAACTTATTAAGCTAACGAAAACCTTCATCTGAGCTGCTAAAGTATGTCAACAGGCAATAACAGCGTAAATCATCAAAAGGCGATTTAGTAAAAGTTGGTTAATGCTTTAATAAAAAACATACTAGTAGCATAACATGTAAAAGTTAAGCGTCGTTAAAATTTGTTTTGCTTATTCTATTGTCTGGTTGATTGGATGATTAAATTCGTCTGCATATCTTTATTTTCAATATAATTTGAAGGATTGAAAAAAAATAGTTTGATGATTTGTTATACCTATATTATGTGACAACCCTTTATAAATAGATATACTTGAAAATAGAACTCACCACTTTTAAGCAAATTACAATTTGACATTGTCTTTATAATTGCAATATAATTGTAATCTCGCGATTTCAAAGTATTCATGCAGTACTCTTTTACTATTGCAATTTTATCTAGTATGACATGTTTTTATCATACAGTATTGAATTGTATTGTACAGCCAAAACAATGGTTTAACAGATTGAAATGATAGAAATTGAAATATTTCAAAGTATCCAAACAATAGGTACGAGTTATTGTATTGTTATATTGAGCTGCCTGTCATAAGTATATTTCCTTCAGTTTTCTGACATCAATATATTTTCTATTGAGTTGTCTGTCATTAATATATTTTATATCAGGATGTATGTCATAAGTATCTTTTATATTAGGATGTCTGTCATAAGTATTTTTATATTGGGATGTCCGTCATAAGTATAATTTTTGTAACGGCCGGCGGGTGTCAGATGAAAACACAAACGCAACTAATATAAACGATTTGATAAAAAGTTCTCAGTTTATTCAACATATATCTTGCATTAATACTTTATTTATACAGTAATAACGTTAAGCTCTCGTCTCGTATAAAGCAGAATGTTTATCAACAATAGTTTTATGGTAAAGTTTATCATTTGTGGACACAGCTCAGGAAAACAACGTATAAGAAATGTATACAAGGGACTTACTAGATTTTACATTTGTATTTGCCACTCTCTAAAGTTATTTACATGTCTGAAAGCAGACGCAGAATCTGACATCATCTTGATCCAACCAATATATAGGCTTCTGAGATGTGATCACGTGATTAAATTGACCGATGTCTGAATGCCCGGTGAGGAAGGAGTGTTCCTTGTGACCAATCCGATTTGTACCGGTTGCCGTTCTCCAATAACACCGTTCCCTTCAACGGACGTTCAGTCAAACTTTTTAACAAATCATGTTTAACATTAACAATATGATCAGTGCTTATACATCTAGTGTGATAGGTTATTTCACAACAAATGTTTTGATAAATAATACTTCCAAAAAACTATTATAAAGTACTTCTATCACAATCGTGAACAAACTATTCGAAGTGTAGCGGTTTGCAGGCGCTGAGATTGAAGGTAGAAATTCTCACTGTGTTTGAATGAAACAGTGTTAAAATCACAATTGTATATGCTATGTACTTAAATCTTATGCTAGCTAGATAAGTTTGAAAACATATTGGTTCTTAGATAGGCCCCTAAAACCCTATCTTAGTAAATATCACAGATTCGTAATTATTTCTGTGACAGTTAACAACAATAACAACCAAAATGGCTGCCTCCGTGAAATTTAGAGTATTTGTTGAACAAAATCATAAAATAAGAAGATAAGAAATGTTTAATGTTGAATAATAGGACATTTTATGTAGATACATATCCAAAATTACTTACTGAATTGATAATATAAGTTTTAACAACAAACTTAACAAGTCAATGAGACAAAAACATTCATGTATTTTGATTGTTTTACAATATTTTACATTGGGATGTCTTTTAATAAGTATATTATCTTACATTGGGATGTATGTCATAAGTATATTTTACATTGGTATGTCTGTCATAAGTGTATTTTATATTGTGATGTCTTTCACAAGTATATCTTACATTTGGATGTCTGTCATAAGTATATCTTACATTGGAATGTCTGTCATATGTATATCTTACATTGGGATGTCTGTCATAAGTATTTCCTACTATAAGTATATTTTATATTGGGATGTCTGTCATAAGTATATTTTATATTGGGATGTCTGTCATAAGTATATTTTATATTGGGATGTCTGTCATAAGTATATCTTACATTGGGATGTCTGTCATAAGTATATCTCATATTGGGATGTCTGTCATGAGTTTATCTGATATTGGGATATCTGTCATAAGTATATTTTATATTGGGTTGTATATCATAAGTATATCTTATATTGGGATGTCTGTCATAAGTGTATCTTACATTGGGATGTCTGTCATAAGTATATTTTATATTGGGTTGTCTGTCATAAGTATATTTTATATTGGGATGTCTGTCATAAGTATATTTTATATTGGGATGTCTGTCATAAGTATATCTTACATTGGGATGTCTGTCATAAGTATATCTTATATTGGGATGTCTGTCATAAGTATATTTTACATTGGGATGTCTGTCATAAGTATATTTTATATTGGGATGTCTGTCATAAGTGTATCTTACATTGGGATGTCTGTCATAAGTATATTTTATATTGGGATGTCTGTCATAAGTATATCTTACATTTGGATGTGTGTCATAAAAATATCTTATATTGGGATGTCTGTCATAAGTATATTTTACATTGGGATGTCTGTCATAAGTATAT